GCAAATTATCCTGCTAATATATTTATTTTATTTAATATTTCGTTAACTATTAACTTTATTAAAGGCATTTTATACTAAAATTCGGAAGTATTGATATTTTTGTCTAATTTTCTTTCTTTGCCTGGAGTAAATGCGTTAAATCTGAATCATGTCGTTGATTTGTAAAATGCGATTATCCCGAAAACTGTTGAGTTTTAAAGTTATTATCAAGCATACCTTTTTTTTCTTTAAAATAAGTTATCTTTAATATTTTTTATAACAAACACTGGTATCTTAAAGAGCAAAAAAGTTAAGTGCAAATGAATCTAGTTATGAATTTTTATATATAAATGTTTATAAACATGAAAGTGATAGTGAAAATTAAAATTTTAAAATTCCACTTCAACACCCTGTATTTTTCTTAATGTCAACATTTTATTAAAGCAATTTGGTTTATATCGTAATATTTTAAAGTGTAGAATCTACGATTTTTTGTACAATTACTTAAGGACCACCCTGTATATAAGTAATTATTATACGGACTATACGATTAATTACAAATTTTTGATTTTATTGAATAGCGGAATATTAATTGGTGTGCATCAACAGCAACACAACAATTTTTTTGAGGTTTTCCCCAATAAATTTTAATATATATTAATATTCCTAAAATATCTATAAATAAAATAAGTAATATCCAAAATCAGGAGCCAAAATAATTTACGATATCTTTCTATGAATATTTTCAGTATCTTTTTACATAATATATTGTGCCACTTTTGTAACATACCTACATTGAAAATTAATTTTTGGTGATTAATTACATTCCCAGATGTTCAACGAACTGATCCTGTTTTCCTACTGGGCACACCATATCATTATAATTATTGATATTCAAAAACCCAAGCATATTGATTACTAAGACAACCATAAAATTGCGGAATAATGAGATAAAAATATTTAGTGGAATTACCGTTTTTGATTTAACCGGCAAGGTTTTTGTACAGGACTAGTAAGATATGAATTAACAGATAAATACAAACAATGATTTCCGTAATACTTTTTCTAAAGAATTATAAACGAAGTTGAAAATATTTAACTGTTTTTATGTTCCAAAAATTTTTTATTGCAAAAATAATTTTTTTTATTTAAAAAATATGTATTGCATTACCTTATTTTTACACATACGATGAAAATCTGCAAATTTATATCTGCACACCTACATTTTCTGAGGGATCCACAAATGGACTTTGCTTCGAGCTATCATACCATAATCATAACGCTTAAATTTTAGTTTTTTTGTGTTTTTCAATATATATTATTACGTCAATTCCGTGGGATTTATACCTTATAGAAAATGTAGATTGATGAAGAAGAAGAAATATTGAAGAAGTATCGAATATTCAAGATGATATCGAAAGATTCTGTAACGTCTAGTGAACTATGATTTTGAAGTTTACAATTATCATTCTGTTAAAGTATTGTAAACTAGTTTTATTAAATGAAATTGAGTTTAAAGAAATGAAACATTGGTAACAGCGGTGGGATCAAAGAAATATTTAGCAGTTGTGAATTAATACAAGATCTAGAGATTTTGATAAAGAAATGGATACGTCCAGACCAACGCATGGTTTTTAAGAATGAGAGAAATGACAAGCTGAAGGAGAAGCGTAGACAAAAAGAGGAAGAGAAACATAGACGAGAATAAAACGAGGAAAAAGAGAAGCTTAGGGAGGTGAATGAGATGTGAAGACCAGAAGAAAAAGAGATGAAAAAGAAACGTAGACAAGAAGAGAAAGAGAAACGTAGACAAAACATAAGAGGAAAAGAAAAGTATAAAGAAGTGACAGAGAAATTGACACAAGAAATTAAGAAGAAGCGTAAACAAGAAGAGAAAGATGGGCATAGGAAAGTAGAGGTAAAACATATGAATGGTTTATCTCAAATTTACGAAAATTTTTAGTTAGAGATGAGTGAAATTACTAGTAGAATACATTAATTAAAAGAAAAAACAAATGGTATAACAAAAAATTTGAAAGTTAATTAATACAACATCAAAATTATTTAAAGCAACAACAAAACTATTTAATGTCTAATTTATAAAAGCAAATAGTTCAGTTAGAACGAAAAATTAATACCAAAGCTTCTTCATCTAATAGTTTCAGTAACTAATCTGAACAAACAGCTTTATCATCTTCATAATTAAATTAGGGACCATTATCATAAACCACCCACATTCGATGGCCAAATAGTACGGGAAACTTATCGTTTTCATTTCTCGAAGCTGCAGCTAGGGCAAATGACTGGACTGAGAAAAAATAAATATAATTTCTTTCAAAAATTCTACAGTTTCCCAGAATGCATTCAGTTATACCCCTCTCGTTCACACTTTAGGGACAAGATATGGCCAGCAAAATCTAAAGGAGGATTTTAATTTCAGCTAGCGTATCATAGCATGTTACATAGATTAACAGAAATTTCGATGTCAAACTACAGCTTGGATACAGAATTAAATTAATATTATTTATATACAAGAAAATAGCAGTAAACAATAGGTACAACGAACAAACAATAAAATCTTAAATCAAAAACTACATAAGAAAGCCCTGAAATTAGTATATCCATCACCAGAGAAAAAACCCAGTATCTTCTGCTTGATTACATATAAAGCCAAAATCTCAACAAACATAGCAGAACACATAAAAAAGAAAGAAATAACACTAGATTTTCTACCAGAAAAACTAACATCTTAGGATAATATATTAAAAACAACAAGAGCCAAAATAAAAAGCAATTACACAGTGGTGTATACAAACTTAAATGTGTCGACTGACCAAAAAGTTACGTCGGTAAAACTGGTAGAAATTTTACAAACGAATAGCGGAACATAAAAGAGCTTTCAATAATAGAACAACAGATTCCACATACGCACTTTACCTACTAAATAATAATCATTTTTGTAATGATTTTTTAATGACGAATTTTAAAATTTTCACATTCAAAATAAAGGCCTTAAGTTATCTTTGTTAGAATCTATGGAAATTAACAAATTAAAAAACACATATATAATTCTGAATGACCAACTTGAGACAAACAGTTCTTTCCTACTTAACCTATTTTATTAAAGACTAGAAAGTGTAAATGCATACTCAGGGTGTTTCAAAAAAGGTAACCCCATCTCTAGGGTAGGTAAAAAACTAAAAAATAATTGGGGTTTGCTTAGTAAAAAATTTTTTTAACGCCATCCGTTTTCAAGATACAGGGCGTAGAAGAAAAAAAAATTACGCATTTTTTACGATTTTGCCGAAACAACTGGCAACATTGTAATGAAATTTTATACGAATATGTTTTGAAAGCTAATACATCTCATGAATTTGTTTTTATATCTGAATGTCATAGAGGGCGCTAGTTACACGGATCGTACTAAGTATTAGTCAATATAACTTTTTTAATAGTATAATTATTAATCAAAATAACAAGCAAACTTAAACATCATTCAATTTTACACCAAAAAGGTACTCTCGGTAAAACTCGATACTGTGTACCATTTTCGGAATAGTTTGATTTGAAAATTATAAAGTAAGTTTCAAAAGGGTTAACACGTTTTTCTGTTACTGGAAGTAACTCGAGAAGATTCGGTCAATGCTGTAGAAGAGTTACAACTCCTAATCAAGACCAGTTTTTGACACTTCGTACACTGAGACAAAGGTTTTTTACCAGTACTTCTCTATAAAATGAATTTTTGTATCGTTATAACTTTGGAATCAGCAAAAATACGATTGTAAGAAGTCCGAAAACGACCTACACCCTGGAATAGCACCAATTGGCCCATTATTGACCAGAGACCATAAAAGGCAAAGATTGCATTTTGCTCGTGAACATGTTGATTGAAATAATGACGATTGGGGAAGAATATTGTTCAATAATGAATCCAGGTACTGCATTTTTTCTGATGACAGGAGAAACCGAGTGTACAGAAGGCCTGGAGAACGCTAGGCACAGTGTAACACCGTAGGGACTGTACAGTATGGCGGCTGCTCGGTAATGGTGTGAGGTGGCATTAATTTAGAGGCTCGTACGGAATTAGTTAGAATAGATCGCGGTCGTCTTACATCGCTGAGGTATATAACAGACATTTTAGAAGAGCATGTCGTGCATTTGCACCATTTATTGGGGATAATTTCATGCTTATGCAAGATAATGCCAGGCCACACACGGCAAAAATTGTGCAGCAGTATCGTCAGGAGGTTGGAATTCCTGCCGTGGATTGGCCTGCGACAAGTCCTGACCTCAACTCAATAGAACATGTTTATGGCATCATGGGCAGACGACTACGACAACTACCTAATGCACCAAACACATTATATGAACTGTCTTTGCAATTGGTTGAAATTTGCGATCAAATTGATCAAGAAGAAATCAGAACGATTATTCTCAGTATGAGAGATCGTTGTCAAGCAGTAATAAATGCCAAAGGAGGCAATACTCATACTAGTACATGGTATTAGTATTTTCTTCAACTTTAAACATTTCAATTTCGTCATTAATTTATAATTTTAGTTTGTTTAGATCAGTTGTTTGTTTAGATGTTTAGATTTATGATGCTATATTGTTAATTTCAGCACAATTTTTGTAAAAAAAGAAAAGTTTTTTATTTAAGACGTTCTTAAACAACCATAAAGCAGAAAAAAACAAACGAAAATTTTTTCATTACAACTCAAAATAAGAATTTTAAAATTATGCGTTAATTTTGGAGCGCAGTGTATAATAAAAACCGCAGCATAACTCCTTTTTTTTTCAAAATTACATACCATTTTTAAAGCATTTTAAAAGCAGTTACCACAGTTATTGTAAATCTATTATAGAATCGTTAAAGAAACTTATAGATTTCTTACATTTTCGTTATTCTATTGTTACTCTCAAATCAGGCAATAAATAATTTGACTCAACCTGTATAAATATGTCTGCTGCTGGTATCTGTTTCTTGGTTATCCCAAGAGCCAGTTCAAGATTTATAAAAGATTAATGTTCAGCAAAAGTGATTACACTGTTAAGATGGGTAGAAAGTGCTATATGTTGTTCGTGTATGTCTGTTATTTTGGAATAATTCACATAGTTAATGCTCGTAAGTAAAATAATAGATAAAGATATTCTTAGTATTTTTTTAAACAATTTTCTTTTCTTTTAATCTTTAACTTTAGTTCCTTAACTTTAGTTTTTACCCAAATATTAGCCAAACTGTGTGCATTGGTAAACCTCAAAACATTATTTATATATTTTAATACAGACTTTTTGACCAGGGCAAATAAGTTTTTGTTAGTACATCGCAATATTTTGATATTTGACGAGATTTTTCGTTAATATATACATAAATTAAGAAAAATCTAATACGTTTTATTGAAAAATTTGGACGTGGTTTTTTAATTAAATATTAACAATTTGGTGCGAAAAATGTAATTTTTGGAGTTTTCTCTTAGCATTAAAAAAGTATCTATTTATACTTAAATATAAACATTTCATCTATTAACAGAAAGAAAAATCTTTATAATAGCGTCTTAGATAATTTTTTAAATTAATTTGTTGCTTAAAAACAGCAAAATAGGGTAAAATCTTAACTGTTTATAACTTTCGTAAAAATTAACCTACACTTTTGTTATTGCTCTCAAATTAAGGATTTGTTTTGCTTAATAAACCCTTAAAGTTTTATAAAATAATACAGATATGGTAATATTACTGGTAGTATTGGAAATATAAAGACTTTTATTATGCACCCAAAAGCGATAAAAGAAATTAATTTTGTAGCCAAAAATCGTTTTGCAAAGTTAGTGTTCTATTTAGATAAATAATATAATTTATATTACAACCAAACTGACAACATTATTTGAAATGGATGATCAAAACAGAAAATCTACGTAGATAGAGGAGTGAGACAAGTGTGCATTATGTCCGCGGTGTTATTTAACATGTAATCTGAACATACCTCGAGCAGCACTGATAGAACCACAGGAAGGAGTGTTGGTCACAGTTCTCGCAGATCTATCTCGCGAAAAAATCGAAGTACATGATAGTCAGTAAGTGCGAAATACCAAATACATGGCCCTAGGTTCACCAACAACCAATTGATCAGGTATACAGCTATGCGTAACTTGTTACTAACATAAACAGTCAAAATAGCGAATAGGAAAAGCACTATTCCAGCACAAAAGCTGGAATATGAAATGTATGAGGTAAGGAAACAGACGAGAAGGAAGAGGAACCACTGACGATTTAAGATTAAAGATGCAGTTAAAAAACTAGCCAGAAGCAAATCACCTGGAATAAATAATCCCCAACTGAACTATATAAAGAACGTGGCCACTTTTCCACAGTACTATGTCACCGCATGACATCATATGCAGAACGGATAGTAGGAAAATACTCATCACATATTTATAGACTATAAAGTAGGCTACGACTCTGTAATTAGAAGAGAAATGTTCAAAGCCATCAAAGAGCTAGGAATACCAAATCAATTGGTAAAGTTAACAAAAAAAAGTTTATTGTGGTGTACGAATTCAGGAGGAACTGTCTGAACCTTTTAAAACAAATAACGGGCTACGCCAGGGAGATCTTCTCTCCTGTATACTGTTCAATGTGGCTCTGTAAAAAGTAATACGTGTATCACGAATCACAATCATTGGTTCAATATATATCAGTGCAAATCCTTGCCTATGCTGATAATATCAATATTGCTAGAACGAAAAACGCAAGAACAAAAATGGGTTTATTAATAAACACCAACAAAACGAACAACCGAAGTATAGGAAAATAAACACGCAACCATAAATCCTTGGTATAGAAAACAACGTCATCGAAGCAGTGAACGAATTTGTGTACCTAGAAGTACTAGTTAATACTGCAATCTAGAATTATATCGAGAAATACAAAACTAAAACTCTAGAAAAGAATAATACGCCCAGTCCTAACGGATGGTTTAGATCCCTGGACTCTAACAAAAAGTAATGAAAACATATTAGATGTATCCAAAGAAAAGCGAATCTATTGAGCAGTGAATGACAATGTAGTGTGGAGAAGACTATACAACTTCGAACTTTATAGAATATATCTGAAACCATATATCCTAAAACATATAAAGGATGTCTGAGGTGGATAGGGTATAAAATGCGGATAAAACAAAATAACCCAACAAGAAAAACATTTCTTGATAGACCCATTGGTCAGAGAAGAAGAGAAAGACTCAAAACAAGGTTCCTTGATAACATCGATGTAGACATGAGAAACAGGGGAATACGTGCTTGACGAAGGAAGGCGATGGATAGAGACAACTAGAGAGAAATTCTTGAGGAGACTAGGACCCACGCAGGGTTGTAAAGCCAGAATGATGATGATGAAAATCAGATCAGCGTTGTAAAGATAAAGTCTCTTTTCAGAAGTCACAATTTACCACTTTTGGTAACAAAATCTCTATTATCAGATGAATAGAATCTTCTTTTAAAAAGCTCGAGGCCTTCTAAATGTGGTATAAGAGACGCATCTTACGAATTCCATGGGTGGGTAGTGTGACTGGTGTTAAGGTCTCAAGTAGAATGGGAAAGGAATACAAGATTATTGCGTATAATGGGCAAGGAATTCGATAGCAAATTTAAATATCGTGTCCATGTTATGAAAAATGAGCAGAGATATGGCCTTTCTCAATCCATTATTCAGGGCGGGGTATTTCGAAAAAGAGGACTAGGAAGGAAAATACTACCTTCCTCCCTAATATCCGGAATCAATAGGCACCGTAAGAAGAAGAAGAAGAAGAAAGTAATGGAGACCTGGATAAAGAAGTGAGAGATCAAGTAAAATATGTAAATAGGATGTCAGAATAACATTATGGCGAAACCGACATATTAACACAGATTAAATAAAGAATTTATAAAGCGAATGTAAGAGCAATATTGACATATGCATCAGAAAGAAGACCCTACCTGAGATAAGAATACTGAGAAGAATTGCAGGAAGTACGCTGAGAGATCATAATAGACGTGAAGACATTAGAAAAAAATGTAACGTACAGTGTATAGACGAATAGACATTAATATTGTTCTGAAGCTATTTTCTTGTGGCATTGTAAATTAATTACTATTATACTGGGAATAAGCCACAATTAAAGATAAAAATACGTTTATTGACGTTTCAATTTCCACTTCGAAAAACGTTCTCAAAATACAAACAGTGTTTTTATTTTGAGAACGATTTCCGAAGTGGAAATTGAAACGTCAATAAACGTATTTTTATCTTAAATTGTGGCTCATTCCCAGTATAATAGTAATGAAAAGACATTAAATAAAAAAAATAAGGGAATACTTGCATAAGCAGAATGGATGGAGTGATCAAAATAGCCACAGATAAATCGCCAATCAGCAGAAGTATCGGACGACCGCGCAAAAGATGGAACATGCCATAAACGTCTCCATCCTCCAATGAACAAGCACAATTGTTTATACAAAAGAAAAAAGAAGAAGTAAACAGCAGGTCAGAGCCACATTATCTAGAATCATAACATCTACATCACAATTTATCACAATTATAAGATCAGAAATTGATATCAATTGAGGGTATAATAACAGGTCCCAGATCTTTTAGCTCTAAATGTGTATATATGACTGATGCCCTTAACCTTTGTACTGTCTCTGGGTACGCCTGGACCCAGCAGTAAAATTCAAATGTTTATATATTTATTATATCGTAAATTTGAGACGTGATGTTTCATGATATCCTTAAGATTCGTTTTATATTCAATTTAACGTATTTGCTTTTTAAAATATCAATTTGGTTTTCTTTGAAATGTGTTTGTCGAGTATCTTTAGTGTTGTACCAGACTTGATCGCTTAAAGGTTAGAGTTGAGAGTGTGGTGTACCATGATTTGTGGAAAACAGAATGATAAGCGCTAGCTAAAAAACGAGCTCCAGGAGAGGACTCACGGAAGAGGAATTACGAAAAATCCTTAAAGAAGACTCAGAAAATAAGGATTAATCAACGAATTTAAAAACCATCACTATTAATATCTAAAGAATTAGTAGATGAAGAATTTTCTGAAGAAGATCATGTATCTACGAATGATGATGACAAAGATGAAAGCGAAAATTCGGAAAATGAAATAAAAGAAACAAAAAGATTTACAATATGTGCTCGTGATGGGACATTTTGAACAAATATCCACCATCTCAGTCACGTGTAAGGTAAGTGGTGGCTCAAGTGCTACACATATTTTCTTACTAAACTTGTGAGCTTTACTAATTGCGTTGTATATGGTTTAGATCCATCAATATACTAAATCTTGTGCCAGGTCCCACTAGATATGCCACTCAACGAATTACCGATGAACCTATACCTTCAATGATATTCTTTTTCACTGATGAAATGCTTAATTTACTTTTAATGAAAACTAACAGAGAACGTGGTCGCATATTTAATGAAGAAATGTTAACTATAAAAGGAATATTACTGAAAGAGTTAGAAGCTTTAATAAGTAAATATTTTCATTACAGTTATAAAATAAATTAACTTGAAATTTTGCATTTTTATTCAAGGTTTACTTTTTCTGGCTGGTGTTCATAAAGGTGCCGGAGAATCTCTGTAGGAACTTTGAAGCAATTCTGATGGTAGACCCATTTTTAGAGCTTCTATATCTCTGAAACGATTTTGTAACATCAGCTGCTTTTTGCGATTTGATAATAAAGAGGATAGACCTATTCAACGGAGGCACGACAAGTTAGCTCCAATTAGAAGTTTTTTTTTTATTTATTTGTAGCGCAACTTCCCAAAATGTTTGTTCCATATGAAAGCCTCACTGTCGACAAATAACTTGTACCATCTAGAGTCTAGAGGTAAGTGTCCCTTCAGACAGTATATTTCAACAAAATCACGTGGAAAATATGGAATTAAATTACGGCTTTTATCTGATGTCAAAACTATGTATGTGTATTGTGCAGAAGTTTGTACAGGCAAAGCAGAAAATCAGCCCTGTGACGTATATTAGCGCAGAAATGTGGTTTTACGACTTATAAAAGATGTTAAGAATTCTGGGCAAAACCACGGATTATTTTTTTACTGACTACAATTTAGTGACTGAATATTAA